CCAACCTGCGGCGATTGCCCGTCGGTGAGGACGTTTGTTTGTGTTTGATAATTGGACAGAATGACAGATGGCGATGTTGACAGAAGCAGGAAGAGGCGCGCGATGATTTAGAGGGTGATTGATGGAGACAAAGCAGGAGACAAACGACGCAGCCTGAAATAGAGAGCGGCTCTGTGAGAACGATGGTGGCTGCAAAATGCTCGATACGACGAGAGCAGGCGGTGCTTCCGGCAGGGCGGCTGATTTATGACGTCTGAACACATGTAACCATGATCAACCCGAACACATGTAACCATGATCAACCCAATTTTCTGTCATGTTAAATAGTTAGAGCATCATATGTTTGTAAAGGATAAATATGGTCAAATCAACAAAAATATGTAAAAGTTTGTTTGCTTAAAGATGCAGTATGTAGCTTTTACCAAAAAAAAGTATGTTTTTTCTGTATTTATATGTCGTGACAGTATATCAGGCAGATAATGTGGAAAAAAATTGAGCTACTCCTTGAGCTACTATTACTGTCTGCAAAACTGCGTCGATCCAGTCAAAATCAGAGCGAAGAGGAGGGTCTTAGCGCTGTCAATCACCCTCCTGCTCAATGTGCTAATGATAGAAAAATAACTTACTGTTACAGGAAAACTGTTTATCCGCCATCATCAGTGACTATGATAACTAGCTTTAGCATGTTTGGCATGCTATGTTGAACCAGCTGGATTTGTAAATAGCAGGAAGGATGGAGCGAGTCCAAGTGATTGATAGCGCTAAGACCCTCCTCCTGACTCTGGTTATTTCCGACTGTTTCCTTAAAGCTGCAGCATGTAACTTTTACAAAATTTGTTTTTTTTCCATATTTATTAAAACTGTAACCATGTTGTGTAATATGAGACAATCTATGTAAAAAAAATCAAGCTACTCCTTGCACCGCTCTCGGTCAAAAACAACCAGTCAGAGCCAGGAGGAGGGTCTTAGTGCTGTCAATCACTCTCCTGTACACTGCTCAATGTGCTCATGGTGGAAAACATTAACACCATGTTTTTCCACCATCACACAGATTGCTATTTGCTTCGTGAATTAGGAAATGCTAAGACAGAGGAGACAATGAATAGAGCAGATTAACTAATATGAAGTTCAAATGTCAGGTGTGGTGGTTGAGAGGTGGTGAGGAGAGACACAGAGACCCAGGTTGTAGAAAAAAATGATTAATTTAATGGAGATGCTCAAAAACAGTCCAGATCAGGCGGCAAGGCAGAAAGATTAGCACACAGCTAAATACTGGTATCAACTGAAAACCTGAAGACTGAAAACGAGAGCTAGACCAACACAGGACTTAACAGTTCGTCTGTGAAGGTAAGCAGACAAACGATGAATGACGTAAACACGACGAGGATCCGACAACAGACAAAGACAACAGGTGGGACTAAATACACAGGGAGGGTAATCAGGAGACTAGACAGAGCTGGGATCAATCAACAGGGAGGACAGGACAGAGACTCACAGGGAAACAGGACTAAACACAGAAAATCTCAAAATAACCACACAGAGAAACACAGATCACAACATCAAAATGCTGCTTCCTACTTTCAATACATAAATAAAACTTTAAAAATGGGCTAAGATGCAAAGAGTTCCAGAAATAAATGTAATATCTGAAGCACACTTGAGCACTGATTAATTTCATGTTATTACAGCAGAAAATGTCAAGATGTTTCAAAGAAGCTGACTCACCTGTGGTATAAATATTAAATAAAGTAATTATAAGCAAATTAATCTAATAAAGTATTAGATTCAAGCAGAAGATGGTCTAAATACTTTCCAACTGATACCAGTCAGACTGCAGAAATTTAGATGAAAAATGTCACTCTATCAAGATTTTTGCTATTTTATTCAGTTCAAAACCAGTTTTTGTTGCTCATTGTTTGAACACCCAGCTGAATTCAACTCACAAAATTGCTCCACAAACTGGACAATTGTGCTGTAAATGACTTAAACCTGCAAACATTTTATTCAGAATGTAAAATGTCGTTTTTGATATTTTGCACAGGTTAAATGTTTGTTGGGAAACAGCTGTTAAAATTTTGTTTTGCCGATTAACAGAAAAGCGGGAGAAGTCCGAGCTTTATTTGACCGCTGTTGCCCTCTAGTGGCTCATCCGCAGATTTACCTTCAGTACCTGGAATCAGTTTTTCCACCTGCTCAAATTTTCTACTTTCTTTATAGCCACAACTTTAATGCAGACACTCGCTTGTTTTTGTCACGTTTTTAGTGGTTGTCACGTTTTCTTTCTGGTTTAAACGTTTAAATCGGTTTCTGGTGAATATCTGAGATAAAAGAAAGAAAAATGATTATTTTTCAGGTTGTTATTTTTGTCCTTTTGTCACCAGCTCAATCATCGGGTTTCCTTCATGCTGTTTTAATAATTTGGGAAGATATGTGCTGACTTTCCCTTCACCTCAGAACTGAGTCAGTTTCTCATTAAAGATGATTGTAGATGTCAGCATCAGAAGTAATCTGGTGACATTTATGCATGATATCCTCCTCCAGTCGAACGCCTCCAACCCTCATCAACACAGCTGACCCAACATGTGCTCCGTGTGTGTGTGTGTGTGTGTGTGTGTGTTTCTCCTTTCATTAGTCGATGTGATCTGCTTGTCACTTCCTACGTTGTTGCGTTGAGACACATTTGTACTTCAAAGAGAAGCTCCTCATTATTTCCCTGATGGCTCGTATAAATGTAGAGATGATCTGCAGACAAACAAACCAGCGCATGCAGGCAAAGCAGAGAATGAAACTTTGTTTTCAACATATTTTACTACTAAAATATTTTAAAAAATGGCACGCATGATGGTCAAAACTGTCATGTTGAGACTTGCGATTGGTCACCAAATGTTTGCAAAAACTATTCTGTTTTTGCAAACATTTGCAAAAACAGAATAGTTGGTAAATAAATAAGCATTCGGTGTTTTAAAGAAGTAAGCAAAGCACTCAAATTTGTGTATCGACGTGTAAATCATTGTAGATTTTTATGGTTCGCAAGTTAAATTTTCTAGATTTTTTAAAATCTTATAGGCAACAAAAACAGGATATTGCTCCTTCTTACTTTATTTTGCTAAGTTTATGAAATTACCGTGTTCAAGTCTGCAATTTAGGAAAAGACACTGGATATTTTTTTATCCACAATTCCTAATACATTATATATATTTAATATATATAATTTTATGTACTGTATTTGGTCTTTATTTATTCGGTTTTACATTTATGCCTTCACTGAAAAGGAATGGCTCTATATGCCTGTTTATGACATGAACATGATCCTCTGGGGTGTCCAGCATTTTTTAAAGAGGGGACCCTGGCCCCACCTTACCCTGCTTGGGGACACCACTGTAAAAACACAAAACAGGATTATAAAGAAAAATTATTATTTTCAAGTTCATTCATAGATTTATTTTTGTATGTTAATCTAACATTTAAAGAAATATTAAATCAAAATTGATTTTTTTAAATCTATTTTTGTCATGGCTAATCAATTATTTCCTAATAGTCCTTGATTCAAGCAAAATCCATCAATCGTAAGTAAAGACAAAAAAAAATTTAAATCAGTCCTGGAATTTACATCAGATTAGTTTTTATTGTCAAAAGTAACACAAAGTACCGAAATATGAAAATACAAAGATTAATTTTTTCAGACTCAGGTTTGAAGTTAAGCGGATCAAGTTTGGCCGTCAGATTGAACGCAACCTTTTTGGCTATTTTTTTCTTTTGCTACTTTTTCTTTTCTTTTATTTAATTTATAACATCAAGTATTCCATCAGCTGAAAAACTGCTGCAATTAAAATGACAGGTAGCTGATTTAATATTTCTTCCAAATCAAGCAAACAAAAAACATTGCTTTACAATATTTTCAATTTTTAAAACCTAATTTCTTCTATATTTTCTTCATTTGATCTTAATGCAGAAAAGTCAGTATTTTCATTTCTAGTTAACTAAATTCTGAATGTAATTTGTCTTTTAATCTACTTCATGAAAAAGTCCAGAGATCAAAACAAGAATGTTATTAATTCTCTTTTTAATCCAAAAAAACACACAAGTTGCTCAAAACCACCCTGGAAAAGCCAGAACCGTTCAACGCTCTCGGTTAAATTTTTATTTAAAAATATGTAGAAACAGGAGCACATGTGTAAACACACACCAACAGCGGAGACGCTCCGCTCAGCATCAACCTGGACCGGAACAAAAGCCACAAAAAGCAAAAAAACTTCACAGCAGCACTTTCACCCTCTCAAAGTAAATCCATCCAGCTCAGCGCGTTGCACATCACAAACCTCAACAACTTCAGCAAACGTTTAATCCTGAAATCAAATAAAAGCCAGAGTTTAACTATTCGCTGTACAGAAACGCAGCTACTGCAGGAGTCTGGGAAATGACTGGAGACCCTCAATTCAGCACAAATGTTTGTACCTTTAGCTCCAATTTTTTATTAAAACAAAAAACAAACTAAACTTCAGCAGCACCAGAGACCTCCACACTGCAAAAACACAAAATCTTAGAGTATTTATGATCTAGTTTCTAGTGTAAAACCTTAATACACTTGAAATAAAATAAATAAGTTACAAGTAACTTTTCAGTTTGTTTTTTGGAAACAATTATTTAGGGAATTAAATAATTATTTATTTTAAGTAAATAATTTAAGGAATCATTGACATAAAATAAGCTTCTATATTTTGCTGAAAAGTTACTTCTAAATTATTTTAGTCTTTTTTCAAGTGAACTAGGATATTTGCACTATCAACTAGACAAAAATACTTGGTAGGATTTTGTGTTTTTGCACTGCAGAGAGCTGCAGTCCTTGTCAAAAATAACTTAAAGTGCAATAGAGAAGGCTGAGAAAAGCAACCCTAAAATTAAAGGGTTTACTGGAACCATCAGGAAGGAAATGGTAGCATTTCTAATCTGCTTCGTTTGGATGTTTCCTGTCACTAGAAACGCTGAAACTGTTCAGAAACTAAAGTTAAAGTGACAGTTTTATTTCAGCTGAGTCAAAGGTTCGACTAAAACTCAGCAGCAACGAAACGAACAACATGGCCGCTCGTTACTGGAGGTAATCAGTCAAGAAGCCTTTTTTTTCCCTAAATTTAGCGCTTTCCTTTTGTTCTAAGATGCATCAGGTTTGGCTAACAGTCTGGACCTTCGTCCTGCGGCTCGTCCTGGAACGGGTAGCTGAGCGCCGGAGGGAAGCCCTGAGTCCGCGGCAGCTCGTCCAGCAGCACCAGGTCCTCCACCTCCCTGCCTCTGTAGCGCCGCCTGCAGATCTTTACCGTGACTTTCCGGCCCTGGAACACCTTCAGCGCCTCTTTGGAGGCCATGGCCTTGGCGGCGGCCTCGTCGCGCCCGTAGCCCGTGCCCATGTAGACGGTCTGGCAGCGGATTTCGCACACATGGCCATCCTTCTGCGTGCGTCCCGCCGGGAGGCCCGCAATGTCCTTCAGCGGCACGAACACGCATGTCACCGTCTGTTTGCACGACTCCACGCAGCTGCGCAGGATCTCGAAGTGGTCCAGGTTGGGGCCGAAGCCGCCGGCCGACACCAGTTTCCACGCCACAGCCTTGTAGAGACGGTTGAAGAAGGGTTGTTGTTCCGCCGGAGCCTGAGGTGGCGGCCCGGACTTCTGGATGGCAGACCGCGCCGCCGCTCTCCCGGACGGCCGGCCGTCGGCTTCGGTTCTGGATCGCTTCACACAGCCTTCGGGGTCGCCGTCTGGGAACGAAGACAGAACGTTGTTGAAGCAGAAGAAGACGTGTTTAATGATGAAGAAACACTCCATCAAAATCAGATGTCCTTTTTAAAATCCCAAGTTAAAGCAAACAAAACTCAAACTGTTTAGTAAAACCCAACCAGCATCACTTTTATGCTTCACAATAATAAAAATGTGCTTTTCATCACCGTCTGGGGCGCTGCGCTTTCCTCTGGCTGTGATTCCAGCTCTCGTTGTTTTGTGGACTGGCGGGTCCTGGACGGCGATCCCCTCGCCCATATCCTTGATCTTGTCCATGACAGCCTGCGGGTAACTGAGACAGAGAGGAGAGCAAAGTTACATCAGCTGGATGTGCAGAGAAGCTGGAAAAAGCTCAGAAGGTACCGTTTTCTGGTTGTTGATTTCTAAAATTAGTCCACTTTGTTGTTAACTGCTAAAAAATGTTTGACTTCATTTAATTAATTATTAATTAAAATGTTGCATAAATACAAAGTCACGTGACAGAATATTAGGGCCAAGCAAAGATTTTTAATTATCAGAATAAAGTAGTAATATTAGAATGAAGTAGTAATTTTAAGAAAACTCTAACACGAAAATTAACAAAAAATGAAAACGAGGAATGTTGAGCACCTTGTGAAGTTATACTTTGGTATTGGTTTTAGAGATAAATACTTCATCTTTAAACTAATCAGCATAAAATTATGACCGGAATTTCAAACTATTTAGCAAACAACAGAGATAATTGTGAGGAACTGAGCTGCTTATGTTAGATCTTGAGAACCTTATAAGCTTTTTTTATTGTTAAAATTACTTTTTAATGTAATTTTATTACATTTTTATGATAAAATTGAGTCTTTTTTCAGCTAATGTTATGACTTTATTCTCTTAATTAAACAAAAATGATCATAGGCTGTTCCTTATACTCTGTTGTACAATTCACAGACCAGACGATTTAAATAAAAAACACTTTTTGAAAATATTTTCTGTTTTTAATTTATTTAGTGAGAAAACATTGATTTAAATTGGAAATGGTTTGAAAAAAATCTAAAACTTTATTTTTATGCCATACTGCTGAGCCCTATTGTGATGACAGCATTCATATAGAGTTTCACAATATGTTACATTGCAGACATTACTCTATATCAATGTGTGCAATACTGAAAATAACTTGATGCAAAACCTGGGAGGACATTATATTCAAAATAAGATAATATTAACCACTATTTGTGCAACAACTATAAAAACAATAAATAGTTTTTTTCACGTGTAAGAGCATTTAGTTTGTTTTATTTAATGTAATTTTAAATCCATATTTTTAATAATGCTAGTTTGGTGCTCTTGGGGCCCCCTGGTGGTGTGGAGGCACTAAGCAGCCGCTTATCTCTCTACGGCCTTGGGCCGGCCCTGGTTAAAGTGAATGTCCAGTCCAGAGAGACCTACCTGCAGCCGAGGAAGACGTGGTTGGCCCAGACCATGGACAGAGATAGTAGCCTGTCCAAACTGCTGCTGCAGGTCCCCGGCTTCACCGTGGGGAAAGCCTCCATGTTCCTCAGGATGAACTCCCTCCGAGCAGACCACTGCTTGCTGCTCTCACAGTAGCCCCGAAACGACTCGATCCACTGGGCCAGCTGCGGGTTCTGGCTCAGGTACTCTGAGACGTCATCTCCACATCTCACCCCCGCCATCCCTGATGGACACAGGGACAGTGATTCCAAAACTTCCGCTCTGAATCAAAGCAGCACCCAAGTTAGACCGACTCAGATTAGCATTAACTAACATGAAAAACAAGTAAGGATAGCTTAAGCCGTTGAATATCTCGTGTTGTGCTGTTATTACCTCACCTGGCTGTTTAATTTAACTGACCAGTAATGTTACAAAGTGGCTCTCACCTGCTGACGATAAGTTGAACCAAACGTCAAGTCAAAAAACATTAGCTAAACCAAAAGACCCACGAAGAACTACGAAGCATCGTTTATCTTACATGGAATAAGCAACAAGGCCGCCATTGTTTTGGAGTCAATATCTCCTCGTTTAACATTAAGAAACTCTCACATGCTGCGCTGTTCTGTTGCGATAAGCTGCTAGCTAGCTACATTGTCGAACAGTGACGTAAGATCCGCGACTTAGAAGAAAAACTACAATTCCCACAACTCGGACATAAACTACCGGCTCCCATTCGCAAATGGCATAACATTTGCAAATAAAGAACAACTTTAAACCACCCAGTCTGATTACTGAGGCATATTTATTAATATTTTTAAAACAGACACAAACGAGTTAGCGTTGGCTAGCTTACGTTCGGCTGCTGTTGGTATCCATAGCAACCGCGGAAGTGCTAGCGTTCATCCAGTAACGGTTTCCGGTTGTTCTCAAGTCTGATGGCGGTTTGTTTTTGTCCGTGAATGAAAAAAATAAAACTCTGCTTTGATTTATCGGGCTTTTTAAAAAACAATAATTTAAATATTAAAGATGATTCACGAGCTGCTGTTGGCACTCAGCGGATACCCCGGAACCATCTTCACATGGAACAAGCGGACAGGTTTACAGGTAAAACTGATGCAAAATGGATGCCAGCTAGATGTTTGTGAATTTTAAACCTTTCATTCATATTGAGCTGTTTTTCATTACCTGAGATAAGTTATTTGAGTAATTTAATTAAAAAAATAAAACACAAATAAATATATTCAGTCCATAGAGTTAATTGTGGTGGCTTTCAGGAAGCGAAAAACCAATGGTCAGTTTCTCACAGACTTTAAATATTACATAAAACCGATGCAAATTTTAAGATTTTGGCCTACAAAGACTACTGAATAGACAGTTGTCCAGACAGTTCAATAAAAGGGAGTGCTGCATCCAAGCATCTTAATGGGAAGTTGAGTTGAAGGACAAAGTGGTTGTGAAAAGTTAAACAAGCAGCTGGAGATTTTCAAGAGTCGCTGTTCTGAATGTCCAGGGGATGAGATGCAAATATCAGATTCCTTGTGTGAAAACATACCAGATTCTGAAATGGCGCTTTTGGATTTATCGTCATTTCTCCACGCCTGGTAAGATGGATAGTTATCTAAAATGCTTTTCCACTTCCCAAATTAATGAGCTGCAGCAGTTTCCTCTCTATAGCATCAGGAATCCTGTGTACACTGCAAAACGTCTTACCTAGTATTTTTGGTATAATTTCTAGTGCAAATATCTTGGTACATTTGAAAGAAGACAAAATTAACTTACAAGTAACTTTTCAGTAGATATTATTGTTGATGAACAAGTAGTAGTTTCACTGGCAAATTATTTCAGTTTTAACAAGACAATTTTTCCATATTATAAAAGAAGAAAATGTGCCAGTGGAACTAGAACTTTTTCATCAATATTAAGGAATTATTGACATAGAACAAGAGCGTATATCTTGCTGAAAATATACTTGTTAATTAGTTTTGTTCTATTTAAAATGAACTAAGATATTTACACTAGGAACTAAACAAAAGTTCTTGGTAAGGTTTTATGTTTTTGCAGTGCTTGGTGAGGTATGTTAGTTTGAAAAACTCTCATTTTTTTATCTCAGTTAAACATCATATGTGGTTTCTGTCCTAGGTGTCCCAGGACCTTCCCTTCCTTCATCCCAGTGAGACCAGTGTCCTGAACCGGCTGTGCAAACTGGGCTCAGATTACATTCGCTTCACTGAGTTCATAGAGCAGCACACCGGCCACGTTCATCAACAAGTGAGTCTCTATGTTATATAACTTTACTTCCACAATAAAGTTAGCAAAAGTGACGAACTCAATGAGTCCAGCTGCCCGTTTAATTCATGTTTATTGGAATTGTTTAACTTTGAATTAAAATGTTGTGTTTTTCAGGAACATCACACCAACCAGCCGAACCAGACGGGTCTTCATGGAATCTACCTACGAGCGTTTTGCACCGGACTGGACTCCATGCTGCAGCCGTACCGACAGGCGCTGCTGGACCTCGAGCAGGAAGTAAGATCACAGCGCAGCCAAAGACGTCGCCTAGCTTAGCACGCAACGGGACGCTGGTTTAACTTCTGCTTATGTTTCAGTTCCTGGGAGACCCACATCTGACGATATCCCATGTGAATTACAAGCTCGACCAGGTAACTCAGGGAACAAACGATTATGTATTTTACAAATGTGACAGTTTGACTGAACTTTTGTCTTTTTTAATTAAGTTTCAGTTGCTGTTTCCCTCCGTTATCATGGTGGTGGAAACTATAAAGTCACAGAAGGTAAGAAACATTTAATGAGGAGTTTATGATCTAAAACATTTCATTTTGATTTATACTGATGGCCACAATAAAACTGTGGTGATAATTGTGATTTGATATATAAAGCAGCTCTTCATAATTTACCCTTTTCAGAAACTCATTGAAGGTTTTTTTGATATATCTTCTGATTTTAGAAGACTGTTTTTTTTTGCCAGTCAGCTATGAAAGATTGCATTTTTCTTCCTTAAATTGACTCCTATATGGAGCTAAATTAGGGCCATAAGATTAAAAAAAAAAGAGTGAAACTCAAGAATATTAAATTGTTTCAGTTTCAAATCTGAAACTGAAAAAAACTGAAAACTTTTTTCCAGTTTCTTTATTTTCAGTATCTCTTTCAAGTTCAAAACTTAATTTTTTTCAGTTTCAAAAATGTTTTTAATTTTTAAATTTTTTTTTTCAGTTCCATTTTTTTATGTTTTTTGATTGTTTATTCAATGTTGCATGACTCTGTGCTTTTGTGTTTAATGATGCAAAGCACTTTGAAATGCCTTGCTGCTGAAATGTGCTATACAAATAAAATTTGATTGATTGATTAAATTAACTTTTCAGTTTCAAAACCTTTTCTTAGGTATTTTTTTTGTCTTTGGAACAAACTTTATGGCACCACTTTAGCTCCATACTCATGTTTTTAAAACACAGTCGGTTAACAGAGTCGTCTGGCTGTTTTAGATCCATGGCTGTCAGATCCTGGAGACGGTGTACAAGCACAGCTGCGGGGGGCTTCCTCCGGTGCGCATGGCTTTAGAAAAGTAAGACCGCTCCCGTTTCAAAGTTTGTTTCAGTTTAACTCTGAGATGCAGAATGAAACCCTCCTCTGGTGCTTCTCTTCCTGCAGGATTCTGGCCGTGTGTCATGGTGTGATGTACAAGCAGCTCGCCGCCTGGATGCTCCATGGGCTGCTGCTGGACCAAAGCGAGGAGTTTTTCATCAAACAGGGTCCCAGCGCAGGAGGCGCCGCTGCCAACCAGGACGAGGAGGAGGAGGACCTGGGACTGGGCGGTCTGAGTGGAAAACAGCTGAGAGAGCTGCAGGACCTGGTGAGGCGCTGCAGGCAGAACCTTACTGCTTTAAATCTTACCTAAAGAATGGTCACAAATTTTGCTGGACAATAAATGTCCTCAAAAATTGTTGCGATAAATGAAAATTTTATTTTAATAGTAATGACATAATAATAATGCAAGGACACATTCTCAGACATCAATACATTTTAAATTCTAATGAACATTTAACACTGGAACTGGAAGACATTTTAAATATGCAAAATAAATAAACAAAACAACAAATAAAAGGAATTATGACATCTTTTGAAATTGTTCTTCAAAAAAAAGGCTAGTTAAGACAAATGTCTTTATGTGTCTTAGAGTCACATAAAGACAGTTACAAAGTCAGCCTTCTCTCAGAACGTTTCTAGGGTTAAAGTCACATCAAGATCTGCTGTTATGATGTAAAGCACTTTGAACTGCGTTGTTGCTGTTGAAATAAAATAAACGTGACTTGATGGTTTCTAACTTTTGTGTTTTGCTCAGCGGCTGATCGAGGAGGAGAACATGCTGGCTCCGTCTCTGCAGCAGTTCTCTCTGCGAACAGAGATGCTGCCGTCTTACATTCCCATCCGGGTGGCAGAGAAGATCCTGTTTGTGGGGGAGTCAGTTCAGATGTTTGAAAACCACAACCACAGCCCGTCCAGAGCCGGTACTGACCCGCAGACCAGCGCCCAGCATCGTGAGGGCGCCTCCTGGTTCTGATCACTGTTCTGTTTCAGGCTCCATATTGAAACACCAGGAGGACACGTTTGCTGCCGAGCTGCACAGACTCAAACAGCAGCCTCTGTTCAGCTTGGTGGACTTTGAGAATGTGATCGATGGGATCCGGAGCACGGTGGCCGAGGTCGGTTCAGATGTTTGAAATAACACTTTTCTTTTCCAGCAGCCATTGTACGTGCTGGAACTCTGCTTGGGTTGCTAGGTAACGGGGTAGTGCTTGCTGAACCGTCACATTACATCTGATGGGTTTTTTAAACGGCTCCAAAAAGAACTTTTATGTTATTGCCAAAAAACAAGTTTTTTTTTTTAAGCACTTGGGTTGATTTTTAGAAGCAGTAAAAACCCAAATGGGAGAACAAAAACGTACAAAATGTGAATTTTGTATAATAGGTCCCATTTAAAAATCAACATTTGGAACTTTTGAAATCCAAGGAGAGCATTGTTGGAAAAATAATCCTGATTTTCCAAAAATGAAATTTTCAGGAAGCACTAATTTTACTGATCAGTAATGGGTTAACCGCCCAGCCCGCCGGCCGGTCCAGATAACATCTCTCTGCTCTGCAGCACCTCTGGACGCTGATGGTGGAGGAGGCGGATCTGCTGGAGAAGCTCAAGGTTTGTGGTCATGCCGTTTGTTTTCTGGAGCAGAAATCTTTGAAGGATGGATGTGTGCTGACGTTTCCCGGCCTCTTCCAGATCGTTAAGGACTTCTACCTGTTGGGCCGCGGGGAGCTCTACCAGGTCTTCATCGACCTCGCCCAGCAGATGCTGAAGGCGCCGCCAACGGCGGTCACTGAGCACGGTAAGTATGGCTGCCTCACAGCCGGGGTTAGCGCAGTTATTTCTGTTTGTCTTCTTTTTTTTCTGTCTTTATATTTTGTCTTTCATTCTTTCTGCTTGCCTTTTCTTCCTTTGTTTCTTTTTCATTTTTTGTTTATCTTTCTGTTTGTCTTTTGTTGTTTTGTTTTTCTTTCTGTTTTTTGTTTTTCTTTTTTACTTTCTGTTTGATTCTGTTTCTTTCCTTTTTTATGCCGTTTGTTTTCTTGTTTTTTTTTTTTGGGGTTTAGGTTTTTCATTGTCTGTTTATTTTCCTACCTCCTGGCTGGTAAATGTGTTAAAAGTTATTTTTTAAATTTATTTAGCAGCACGTTTCTGTGCTTTCTGCCTGCAGACGTTAACGTTGCCTTCCAGCAGGCGGCGCACAAGGTTCTGCTGGACGACGACAACCTGCTGCCTCTGCTGCACCTCACTGT